ATATACAATTGCGTTATCATACAAAAAAAAGAAAAAAAAAAAAAGTAATGATTTATTGCATAGAGATCTAAATAGCAACGTTTTTGGGGAACAGTGAAATGTTTCATGTGTTTTTATTTATTTTTCATTTGAAAATAATAATGTCGAGACAAAACACTCGAATTAACGTATAACGTATAAAAATATATTAGACGCATAAATTTGCTTTCGGACGATTATCATAAATTCATCGATTATTTAATTCTATTAATATCCATTAGAATTTACGTACAACATTTCAAATTTAAAGGTTATATTACTTATGTAAATAATGTACTAACCCGACACTTGTGGCTCTTCCTTAACAATCGTCTCATCCTTCACTGATGGCTTCTGTTCCTCCTTAGTCACTCCCGTTTCTTCCAGATCCGTCTCGTCTTCTATTATATCTGCCGCCAGTGCGGCATATAAATTCGCAGCGGTTGACGAAACAGTTACCTTTTCTTCTTTCTCTTCCTCTGGCTCCTCGGACTTGATATTTGCAATTGTCGTCGTAGAATCGATGACGTTCGGATCTGGCGAACTTGTGCCGTTCGAATACTTAAGCTTTTTCGTCTTTACGGTCTCGTCCGCGTCATTGCTGTTACTTCCAGATCGCTTTATACATATCCGGGATGGGGCCTCGATCAGCGCATCCTCCGAAACCTCCACTTTGATCTTCGTATCACTCGGAGATTCTTTCAATACCTATATTGAAATTCTTACGTTAATCAACCATTTCGTAATAATTACCTTCATTAAGTAACTATTTATAACTAGGATATAATTTAATTTAATTGGCGCTACGCGTCTCATTATATTAATGCTTTGGCATTTACAAATATTTAACTCCTTCGTCACTCATCATGTAAAATCTCACCTTTTTAATGTGATTTTCTACCAAATCTTTTTTGCCCAATATTCCATTCATAATTGGTTCCTTATCCAGCTTTCGCTCAAGCAGATCCGCCAACATAATACTCTGCAATGGCTTGTCCTTAGAACTAACACTCGACGAATCCTTCGACGAGCCGTCCTCCTGAGCGTCTATGTCTAGATTGCTTGGTGCGCCATTCAGCAAAATACCCTCGAAACTCGTGAGCGAATTCTCTTCCTCGGCGCCAACGCCCGAGCAATCACGACTGCCGCCGATACCGCTCGACGATGCCAATGAGTTATTCGTTGAGTCAGAATCCTCGACTATCGGCGTACACACGTTGCGGTGCTGCTGCTGCTGCTGCTGCTGCTGCTGCTGCTGCTGTTGCTGCTGCTGCGACTGCTGAGTCTGACCTCTGACAACCATGGTTGGCTGTACCGGTCGACAGAGTCGCAATCCTCCAGCTACGTGATTTGTTTCGTTGAGCGTTGACGAGGCGATACTCGAGATCGCCATCTGCGTCTGCTGAGTGGATGCCACATGTGTGCCGTTGTCCGTCTCCATAGGGTCCACCTTTAAAACGACATAGATATGTAAAAGTTGAATTATCCACTTCATGTCGAATGCAGCCATCGCTATACATTTTTATACATGCAGGATACGTGTTTATATTAATATATATAATTGATCAATTAAGGTTGTAAATATTGCTTAATCTTGTTAATGCGTTATAAAGGATATATTTGAAACTGCTATCTTTGAATAATATTAATCGAATAAATGACAATATGATTAATCATTGAACCAAGCAACATAAATTGCCATCCCATCTGTATACCTTTTCACAATTATTGGTAACAATAACTTTAGCACCATTAAGCCTCTGCACCTTTTTGGACGCAATAATGGTTTGTTTCGGTTTCATATTTGCGAGGACTTTTGTTGGCGTGGAGCCTGATATATGTTGTTGCTGTTGCTGTTGAAGTTGCTGTTGACGTTGTTGTTGCTGTTGTTGACGTTGTGCCACCTAATATGATACATTTGTATATATTAATTTTTGAATTTTGTCAAAGACAACATTTTGTATGAAGTATTGCGCGGAACGAACACACGTTTCGAGTGACAAACCATATTTTTTATCTTATCGCGTCATTTTCAAATCATGCCATTGTTAGTTATTATTCTAATTATTATCAGTGCCAATATTACTACAACGTTAAATTTAATTTTGGGGCAGGAATTTAAAAGTACGTACATATTTTAACATTAATTTAATCAATTCGAATATTAAGCTCAATACATATATTTACATTATGATTTTAAAATCTGATGAAAAAAAAGTCTAAAGTACTGGTATAAAAAATATATATGATACTTTTAAAAACCCTTTCTAGCCAGTTATTATTCCTCAGTCTAACTTAGTAATAAAAATGAATTTTATTTAAATTATAGGGCATTATTTTTATTAAATGACATAAGTTGTAAAAGTAAAATAAAAATCAAATGTGCATAAATCAAAACAAAATAATAAAATTCGTCAAAAATCGATCAAACAAACAAAAAATGACTAACTACATTCTGCTTTTTTTACGAACAAATCATGCTTTTTATATTGAACTACGTAAAAAAAAAAAAAAAAAAAAAAAAAAAAAAAAAAAAAAAAAAAAATAAATAAATAAAAATTACAATACATCAAACAAAAACAACAGAAACATAAATAGATTAAATGTACGTGAATAAAAAGTCTCACGGCTTCCGTATCCATTGGTGCATGATGATATTTTCAAGAACGTAACACGTATACTCAAGTCATCGTGTGGTACTTATAAGATAAGTATATTAAAAAAAAAAAAAAAAACCAACACTAACGTTTAGAATTATGCCATATACAAATTAAATAATTTAATATCAATATTTAGGGATATGATTCTTCACGTGATTGTACTTTTCTGTGAATTGAACTCTATTTTTTCGATTGTATGCTTGTACACATATCGCTGACATACCAATCACACACATAGCAATCTATATTTAAAATTAAAAATTGTCTTTGGCCATGAATAGAGGATAAAAGATAAATGTAATCACTACTCTAAATCCTTTTATTATAATAAAAATAAGAAATTACAATTAAAAAAAAAATCACTATATAAACAACTCTAATAGACCTTAAAATACAAAAAAATACAAAAAAAAAAAAAAATCTAAATAATAGGACTAATAATGATATTATATGACCAAGAGTATACAAAAAATATTTGTAAGTCATATAGAAAGTTATGAAAAATAAGTGTCACAAGTATGTTGCATTTTGTAAAAATTCAATAGACATCCATAGGGATGCTTTCAACAAAATTTATAAGACATATTCCAGAATTTGTGAATAACTTGAAAATAAAGTGATAATTTATATATATATATATATATATATATATATATATATATATATATATATATATGTAAGACAATCTAATAAGAAAGATATAGTCATCTATCTAATAGAAAGAGAAAAAAATAAATAAATAAATGAGGTACATCTAGCGGTTAATTATACTTCAAAAACACAACATATACCTGATTGGCAGTTATTAGCTGGTTGGCACTGATGCTGGATGCAACGCCAGTGGCGTTTGTTATTGCTGGTACAGCGGACACACAAGAGGAGGAGGAAGTAGCGGCGGCGCCTTGCATGCACTCGCCGCTGAGCGTTACCTTGGTTGCCAGTAGGCTCTTTATGATGGAGCTGGAGGTTGCACCGGAGCGACCCTCGTCCTTCACGATCACCTGCACTGTCTGCAACTGCTGGCCGGACGACTGCGACTGGGAAGTCTGGGCACCGCTTGCCAGGAGCGCCTGACTTAAATGTGGATGAGCCACCGAGACCTGTTACAAGTTCGATCTTACATTACGACTGCGATCGTATTTCGGTACGGAAGAGCCCTCGCCAATTACTCCCTGTCATTAAATTTCATATAAAAAGACGCATTGGATGTTACGAATATCCCTGCCCCACCACGCCATGCATACATAATATAGTCGCCACGACACCTACACCTCATAGCATGGGTATGGGAGGGGTAGGGCGCAGTAGTAATCAACAGTGAGCATCCGTTACACCTGGCTTAATTAAAATATTCTTCATCTCGCTACTTAAATAACAAAAGAACCTCTACATTATTATATGGCGTAACTATGCTCTTCAAGTTAATTACTGCGGAACAGAATTTCTCCTATGGTGCTTTTACAGTACATTTATAATATTTGCATTTCTAATTTAATCGAGTCTCTTTCTTTCCTATATATAGTTGAATTTTCTTAATTGATTTACTAAAAATATTATAATACACAACAATAACAAAACAAAACAAAAAAAAAACGAAAAATATTATAATCCCCCCCCCCCCCGTTAATAATAATAGTATATTAATTATATTCATTATCAATTAATAATAGATATCGATTAAATAAAAATCTTTAGCAATAGTAAAATTTTATTTAAACTGTTTGTTATATGTAAGAACTGCATTATATAATTCCTCTCAAGTGAAACGATTGTAAATTATTTAAACAACAATTACGAGCACTGATTCTACATTACTATCAATTGAATTAGTAACTATAAAATTAATATCGAAGAACGTTATCCTTTTTTTTTTTTTTTTTTTTTTTTTTTTTTTTTTTTTTTATAAGAACCTTTTATATACATTAGACAGTCATGTGTTAAACAATTCAAAGCAAATATTTTTAGTCATTGGGCTTAAGAAAGTACAACTATTTCACCTAACGAAGTCGTCAGTAAATTTCTAGAAATCAGAATTTGTTTCGTCTTTATAATGTAATTGAAATTTAAGGACTCAATTAGAAATAACGCAGGTACTCCTTTAATTTAATTTAAACTTATAAGAAAATTTGAATGTTGTAAAATTTTGTAAATATTTTAAGTCATGAAATACCAATTTATCATTTTTTCATTATAACTTTTTAATATAATTATTAGTATACTGATTGCCAAATATAATCAAAACTTTTTTGGAGATTTGATAAAGCTATTCGTTATTTCTTATTAATTAACTTTTTCACCATCCAGACAAGATAAATAAATATAAATACTATTATTTTGATAGAATTTTTGTAGCAGAAAGTATGATAATTTTTAGATACTTTTAATTGAATTACTATGATAAATAAATTTCAATCGTCTAATTAATTTTGCCTTCGTATACTGATAATATGTAAATAAAAAATTAGTGACGTTATTATTTACATTACAGTTCCATGTAAATTTGTTTATTTTGTAAATAATTAAAACTTTTGAATATTATTAAGCATTATATATTCTGTCGACTATAAAACTGAAATAATTAATAAATATATTTTGCTTCCTTACTACTTACTGCATTTTAATTATAGAAATGACTTAAAACATAGCAAAACTGTTATGTACTAAAATATAAAATTTCGTATGCCATGCAAAGTCCCATTGAGAGAGACATTTTTTACTCTTTATTAGTCAATCTTCTTTCGAAAAAATTATTTCTAAATTATGAATTTAGATTTTTGTATTTTTCATTAATATAAAAAATATTTATGCATTCGATTAGCTAATAAAGAGTCTACTAAATTAACATATATTTCTAAATATAATAATAAAATAAATTAATAGTATATCTATTACAAATGCCGACACCAAAGAAAAATTAGGGAAATCATGTTAAAATGGAGAGAGTGAGATGGTCACGAGTTTTCTTCGCGCAATAAAAATTAATTTTCATAAAATAAAGGAGAATAATAAAATTTAATAAATAAATATCTCAACTGTAGTAACATTAAAATCTACACATGCACAGTATTAATGTTTAAAATCGTTTAAAACAGATATAATTTTAAAAATTTGAAAAAACATTTTATTTCCAATACGTGTCTTAAAATTATTCTGTGTTAATCTGAACATTGAATTTGCTGATAAATTAACGACTTGTCAGACATTGCGATAATATTTGTTAGGAATAAGCAAAAGATTTTAATGAATAATAACTTTTTACTTAATAATTTTGCTTTATTTTTTGTTTTTATATTCACGCTGTCAATAGCAATTTTCCCTTAAATTTTTTTTATTTATATTTAATTTAAATGTTTATTCGTTGTTCTTGTTGATGGTATTTGTTTTGCGTATGAAATATTTCATATTCATCGTTTCTATAGACTATTGCTTGTATTTCATTACAATACGAATAATTTATATTTTTCATTAAAAATTAAAAATTTCATTGAACATTACATCTTCATACAGCAAGCAAAAGTTGTAATATTATTATTGAAAAGCACTTATTATATCATCGCAATATTTGTAAAATACAATTAATTTTAAACAAGCTAATATTAATAACTTGTGTATTAAGAAAACAAAAGGATATCTAACGAAACTGCAACAGTTTATTACCATGCTGGATGATTAATTATGAAAGAGAAGCATATAGAAAGAGAAGAAACTTGTAAGATTGAGAAATTAATTTTTAAACGCTAGCACGCTTAATTTGTTCACAAACAATTGTTTCCAATAACAATGGTTCTGCATTCTTCTAATTATCATGTTTTCATTAATCAATGATTATGCTGTTTTATGTTTTAAATTATTATTAAAGAGGCTGAATTTTGATATTAAAATTATGATTATTATTACTGTTATTGAAAAACATATTATATGTATTATTATATGTATAATGTATTTATGTGTGTAATTATATATGTATTATTATATTATATGTAATGATTTATAGTTTATGGTAATTGAAATTTATATTTAGTGACTCGAGACTGAATACTCGCTCTCTCGTTTGTACTTTCGCCTACGTAACTTCCATTCGTCATTGAAATATCAGAGTTATTTAACGAAATCATTAAATTAAATGTAGCGTGATATAGCACGAAAACAATAATAGATAGAGAGAGATATAGATAGATAGATAGATAGAGATGGAGATAGAGAGATAGAGATAGAGATAGAGAGATAGAGAGATAGAGAGATAGAGAGAGAGAGAGAGAGAGAGAGTGAGGGAGAGAGAGAGAGAGAGAGAGAGAGAGAGCATGACACTAAACAATTAATTTGTATGTGTTGTATGAGGGCGCGCGCGCGCGCGCGTGTATGAATAAATGATTATAAAATCACGAGAATCATGTCAGAATCATGTCAGAATCATGTCAGAATCAATGGCCGTTTATGAGCGAGACTCGGAGAGAACCCACCTGACTCTTGGGCTCGATTGGGACGTTGCTCGTGACCGGGCTCGGAGCATTTAATGGACTATTCATGGGACTAGCTTGTGCGGCTTTCGCCGGGGCGGACAATTGGGCTTTGAGGATTGGGGAGGACGGCGACGCTTGTGTCGGTGCGCTATCGTTACGCTGTTGTTGTAGTGCTTGTTGCTGCACCTTAGCTGCTGTTGTGCCGTTGCCACCGCCAACGCCGCTTACGACGGTGATGATGTTGCTGCCGCTAACACTGCCTCCGCTACTGCTGACTACTTGGCTCGGGTTAGCCCCGGCAACGGTTTGACTCGGGTGCGCTACTTGACCGGGACTCGCGCGCACTCTAATGCCCTCGTAGTATAAGCTCCCGTTGCTCTCGCCCTTTAAAGGGTTCGGTCCAATCGTTCCTCCGAATACGGATCTGAAAATGGCCGTTCATTCGTCAAATTTCATTTGGAATTATTGATCAACTAACTATAATAATAACAGGAGACAAAACCTCGAAACTATATCCATTAATTGACAAACATGAATTATACTTATAAGAAATATAATGATATTATATAATATGAATATAATTAATTATATGAAACACAAAGATGAATTATAAATAAATTAAACGGGTCGTTGATGAGAAATGTTTCAATGCCAATTATTTAACTATTTTTTTTTTTTTTTTTTTTTTTTTTTTTTTTGATAAACTTCATTTTATAAGCAAAATTTTAAGCGTATATGATACTAAGCTGATTACGTATACATTAGATATACTTTCGAGTGAAATAAGTAAAACAAGTGTTTTTCATCGTCCGAGTGATGCTACAAAATATGTCGATAATAATGTTTAGATTTATAATTGAATATACCAAGATAAGGAATATCGTGAAAAGGGAAAAAGTTATTGCAAATACCTGACGCAACGAGGGAAATGAAGAGGTGCTATAACGCCTCTCCTACCAATTTTTGTGCAACATCCCAGGTACTTTTTGTACAATTCTTCTTGCTCAATTTTTATACCAGGGCAGAGTTCGAAAGTAGCTCTGAGCCATCCTAGAGCAAATTGCTCATTTTCCTGGATAATTTGCTGATGGGCGTGCTGTTGTTGTAACGAATTCGCTGCTGCTTCTGTAAAATAACCATAAGCATAATGCCATCAATACATATGCTGATGAATTACGTTTTCAATGTAATCATTAACATTAAATTCTAGTTTGATAATAGTTACGTGCATTATTGTTTAATTATTGATAACCGAGTAGCAAATGTGTTAGCTAAAGCGTAAATATATATATATATATATATATATATATATATATATATATTTTATAAAAATTTATATGCAATGAGGTATATTCAAATGTCTCGGAATAAATTCCATTACTTAAGGTATGTTTGAAGAACGATCCCATTGTATCTCTTCTACCTATTTGGCTCTTAATGATAATTGATATTCAAATAAGAATTAGTGAATTCTTCGTATTTAGAAAATATGCTTCGTTAAAATTGAATTTATTGCCAACGCTAAAAGCCACGTATTTTATGTAAATCACTAATAATAATAAAAACAAAATGTCTACTAAGAATATGAAAAAATCTCCAATATAATAAGAATAACCACTTATCGACGAATCGAAATATAAAGTTTACAATGCGCTGACAATACATTCGGTGTTCCGAATTGAACTAAAGAAAGAAAAAAAAAGGAAACAAAAAAAGAATGAAAAAAAAAAAAAAAAAAAAATCATCCTACATGCAAGAGAAAGTTAAAACGTGTTTCGACTCGCAGCTGAACAGACCAATCAGGTCAAACCTACATCCAAGGCACAATTATCAATCGTTACTCAAGACAGCCTCCTCCTGGCGCAAAGTCCGCTAAATGTCGAATTACTTACTCGCGGCGGCACTCTTAGGTGTACTAGGCCTCGGCGAGCTCCCACCACCCGACATCGCTTTGGACGGCGCCGATTGCACCTGCTGTTGGATCTGCTGCTGACTCTGTGGCGGCTGTTGCACCTGCAGCTGCACCTGCACCTGCTGGGGCTGGCTGACGGGGGTGCTGACCATGGTGATAGTGTTGCCGCTGCCGTTCATGCCGCCGGCGTTGGCGATAACGCTGCCGCTCATCGTCGGCAACGTCGCCCCGGACACGCTCACGCTCGTTGCCGTGGGCGCGCCCGTCGACGGAGCCGCGCTCGCGTGATGCACCGCGCTCGAGCTTATTATACCGGGGGAGGAGGACTGTTGCGGCGAGGACGATGAGGAGGTGGAAGAGGCTGAGGCCGCCTGCACGAGCGTCTGTTGCTGGCTCTGCTGTTGGCTCTGCTGCTGGCCCTGTGGCGTCTGCTGCGACTGCCCCGCGGGAATGGAAGAGACGGTCTCGACGACCCGCATGAGTATGCAAGCCTTGGGCCCGTAGCTCTGGGCCTCGACGGTCACGAGGGCGACGAGGGTGTCGATGGCGCCGCGTACCCGCGCCACACTCGAGCACGGCCGCTCGCCGAGGGACGTAAGCGCGTAGAGGCACTCGAGCGTGTAGACGAGCAAGGCTATGTCGCTCAGCGCCAAGAACCTATTAACAAATTGTTACGATTGTTGGATTACCATATTGTTGCATCTGCTGCATAAATTTTACACGCTCGTGTAATGCGCTTTACTGGCAATCGATATCCAGCTAACGGTCTTCGAATTACACGGGCCTTTGAATTTTCAAATCAGCCCGACTTTCTCAACGAAGCTGCTTTGCTTTCCCTATTGTAACCTTATTCTTTTACATACTATTTATTTATTCAATTATTAAATTCAACAAATTTCACTTCTATATTGACAATTGAATTTGTAAAACGTTGTATGTAAGGCTAAGATACGCGACAGTTACTTTATAAAAAAAATGTTCTTTTATTTTTTAATATTTTCTTAACATGTATTCACTGTATGTATTTTAAAATAATTTTGTACAATACATTTAATTAACGATTTTTCTCTTCTATAAATATATCAATCTGAGCAATACAAGTACACGTCTTTGAGTTACTGGATATTGGAAAAACTTTTTGTTTAATTTTATTTAATAATTTTTTTTCAACGATAAATCGTACTTCGAACAGTTTTGGATGTTAAACAGATTGGTAAAGCTCGTGAAAGGCATAATAGCAAAAAGGGAATGATCGAGGAATGAATTTTCTAGAGAGAAAAAAGTGGACGCGAAGGTTGTTCTCGCACCTGCAGATGAGCTCGTAGACGCTGTCATCGAGGCCGAGGGTGAGCGTTTCCTCGTTGAGGTCCTGCTGGCTGACCTTATTCAGTATTTCGAGGCAGCTGATGACGATGAACCTGTCTTGGGAGTCGATGCCGCGAGCGACGCACGATAACATGACACTGGTTAGCCTCTCGCCGGCATCTTTCAACACGATCTCGTTGGCGATATTGCCGAGGGTGTCGAAGCCGAGCTGATGGAGATTACTCCAGCTCGCCCTCACGCACAAGAGAACGAAACGCAGGAAGCAGCGATTACGTCCGAGTATCGCCGCGTTCTCGGGGGTAAAACTGAGGTTGCGTAGTATCGAAGCGATCTGTAATACGCGCTGGCCGTAAGGATCCTGAGTGCCGAGGGTTCGGCCCACGCAAAACAGCTCCGTATCATCGTCCTCGAACTTTATCGAGTTTTGATTCTGATCCTTGTACGTTGACGAGCCGCAAGATGACGAGGAGATGTCGTCGATGAAGTTCACCGAATGTCCGCCAGAGGTACCGAGCCGCTCCTCGAGAATCTCGATGCCGTTCTCCAGCCTGTCGCAGCCCAGCAGACCCTGAAAAGTATTTTCAATTCTTAATATTCGATTGTCATTCAATAGCGATAATTTAACAATACAACGCTACTGCCTTACTTCTAACTTCTGTAACCGCGCAATTTTTCCCGGCATTTATTTTTTTAAACGGTATGTTAAATGCTTGTATGCTCCCTTCGATTAAGCGCTGAATAATAAAATTCAAATAATCACTGTAACATTGAAAAATGTCGTAATCTTTGTAAATGAGTATGGATAATGAGATGAAAACAACAGTATTCGCAAATTGATGTATAAATTTCGCTTATAAATGCTTATGCAATTACGTTTGCAGAAGCATTTTCCCACATACTTTTTTGTTTGTTTGTTTGTTTGTTTGTTTGTTTTGTTTGTTTGTTTGTTTGTTTTTTTTTTTTTTGGTGTTTTCTATTTGTTTTATATTCCTTACTGACATTCCTTGTGATGTTGGTTAAGGATTTAAATCCGTTTCACCGATGTCATAATAAAATCAGACTGACTCAAAATCATACGCAAACTTCCAAGCCATTTTTACACAGACATGAGGCATTTTATCGCTTTATGATGGTTGTTGACTAGATTATAATAATTTCCATTGCTGACAATCGAGAGTGAACGAGAGGAGCAATAAACGCGAGACACGAAGTCGAACTGAATGTTATTATATTTGCAAACGACATAAAGCAATAATCATTCTATTTTGAAAGTATGTGAGGGCGATTGTGCTTAATAAAGCTAATTTTTTGGTCAAATGGCTTTTGACATTGACGTGTTAAAGATGAATCTCGGCATT